CTCTCTCATTTCTTCCACCAACATGGCGGCCGCTTCGTCCGACTGTTTGTTCACCGTATCCACCTCGAGCCCAGCAGGAAGAAGCAACCACCGATGCGGGTCGGGAGCGGAGGGATGGAAGACGTGAACATGGTCAAACGGAGAGTTCAATAGACATAGAATGAAATAGATGTTCCCTCCCGTTCCCTCCCCTGTTTGAACCGATGTTTCTGGGTGAAGATGAAGTCTGCACCCCTCCCAAAAGATCTAGAGCTCAGGGACAAACTAACTACAGATTGTTCCAACTATTTCCATAGTACCGCCTTAGTGCATCAACATCTTGCCCTGCGCATCGTCAACACCCGTCGGACCCCGTCGGTTGGTGCGTGAGTTGGTGCCACCTGCCGAAGTAGATCTTTCGCGTGATCGATCATCTCATCACCCAGCTTCTCACCTTGAGCTGTTGAGCAGGAACTCCTTTCTTCACTGGTAAAGAGGAAGTGCAAGGATGGTGATACCAAATATATAGATAAATAAATAGCTATTTATAGATTAATATAGCAAAAGTGTAATTTCATTGATGATATGATAAAACACGATTGATCAATTCACCGGTCTACTCACGATTCGTGTGCAAAATTTAGATATCTTTTCCTCCGACTTAAGGGGCAGCAGCAAATTCGACGAAATCTAGGGCGAGTCATGGGTGCTCGCTTCTCTTGAGAAGCGTAGTCATGGCACAGCACCTCTCCGCCACAGAACAATCACCGACATGGCTGTGCATCATGGCACCAGACCGGTTGACCTACGGGGGCTCACAAAGGGTTCGAGGTTTCGACCCATCCCCACAGCTGAAGGCATGATGATATGGCTGGCCGTGACGGTCAAGGCGGAGCACCCTGGAGCCCGACAACCACTCTGTGGCGCGAAGAGACCGACATCCACAGACCCAAGCGGCTGTCAAAGTCAGGCCCAGCTGGTCCTAAGAGCCAGAGAGGGAAGAGATGTTCCCAAAGAAATCATTGCAACAAAGAACATTACTGAAAGTTCTTAAACAGCAACCGTACTTGTTTCCAACTCCTTGACTGTGGCCAGAACATCCACCCAAGATCACCCAAGCATGTCCATTGCGTTCATCTTCACTCTCTTGGAAAATGTTCCGGGCCATCCCGCAGGACAGTCCCCGCCGAGCAACTCCCAGCAACGCTTTGATGGCCTATAGAAACCCGTCTAAACCCCTCGCACCAGGGTTTTAGTCTCTATCATTGTCTTATACACATGTATCTTACGACAACACCAAGAGAGATCTGTCACAAAAAAGGTCCATGTGGAAGTCCATGTCGCAACCAGTTAAAGCCACTGCAAACCTCTCTCCGTCCTCTCCCCTTCTGCCCAGGCACCTCGTGCTCCGACCGGTCCTTTCGGGCCCTGTGCCCCAGGCGGTCCATGAGGCCCAGGGCTCCCCTGCGGCCCAGGAGGGCCGCGGCGCACACCGCCCGGGGGGCCCTTAGGGCCCACAGGGCCGGCTGGGCCCGTGTAGCCTGGATGGTGGAAGGATCAGACCGATGTGGGCGTGGTGAGGAAGGGTTCTCCTTAGTGGTCATGAGTCATGATGTATCTTCAATCTGGGGAACTTTGGGTTTCGGAATGTGTTGGTGAAAGAACAAACCACAGGGTAACACCGGTTTGCTTATGGAATTTGCTTGGCTTCACTTACACGCGAACCGTAAACTATGATGACAGTTATCTGGGTGAGGATCTGAGTCAGGCAGCTCGATAATTTCGATAGTTCTCTAGTTCTTGGAACTTGCCCTCAATCTCCCAGCATGTGATAATCCACCGTGGCAAAATCTTTTCCTCGGCTCAGTCCTGTTCTGTTAGAAAAGATGGGAACAAATGTGGATCACCAATTTGCTGACTGTGACTGTTCACATCACGCCTTGAGGTCCTGGTGGCCCCTGAGGCCCAGGAGGGCCACGGTAAAGTCTCAAGTCCTGGAATAAGCCACCGTGGCGGTGTCCAGTCTCGGGCGAAGAACGGACGAATCACAGTCAGTTGGATTCGACAGTCGGCTTGGCTCGATCGTCAGTCGCTTGGATCGATCGACTGATGAACAAACTACAGTATACTAGTCGAACGTGGAAAATGAAACAGCCACTCAGTAGCCAAGTTCAGGATTAAAAGAAATGAACGTCTTGTATCGTTAACATGGCGGCTCCGCCGTCCTAAAGGTTACAAAATCCAGCAAAATCATGTGGTTGGACCCAATGCCACACTGTCAGTCACACCAATCAAGGCCCATGGATTTCTTGCACGAGCACCACCCCCTTGTAGCAAAAAGAGGTTCATTAAAACCTCTAAACAGCCTTCCAAAGACCAACACCCTCAAACATGTCCATTGATTGGGAGCAGCGTGGCTGTGCTGTTTTAGGTTCTTGACTTGAACAAACTTGCAGTCCTTGGGCAAATTCATGCGAGGGCCTTTCCAGTCATGCATGGCAATGGGCCTCGGGCAGGGCTCTAGGCTCTGTTCAAGCATCATGTTGATGACATCGTGGCAAACGTGACGAATCATGAGCCACACACTCACCAACAACAAAGAGCCGTTCTGCCACGTCAAAACGTCAACGGCTGAAAATCTTCCAAACTTGTTCAGCTTCCATGGTCAAATCGACTATTTTCATATACCTATTCATATTGCCTGCACACTTCAAGACCATACATCAGCAATCCATCCAACATCCACTCAACTTATCTTAGCTCGAACTCCTCGACCTCTCCGGACACAGCGGACACAGCTCGCTCCGAGCCACAGCTCTGCCGGTGGCCCCTCCGGCGCCACGCTCTCGTCCAGCCACTCTGCCCGGTCGCCGCCCACGGCGCCGTCGGCGGCCACGTGGAGCTCCGTGCCGGCGGCGCGGAGCAGCTGGGCAGCGACGGTCTTCGCTTCGTGTGTCGAGCGCTCAGTGGGAGTTCCGAAGCAATTCAACCCGTTTTTTGTTGATGGGTGTTTTCGTGCTCGTTTTTCGTGTTTGTGTTCGTAAACTATAGATAACGCAGGGTGCGGTCTGACAAGAAGGCACGTTTGCTTGGAGGCAAAAAAGGCAGCTGATTGGAACTGTTGGAAAGGATATGAAAGGATTGTTTGATGGAATCCGGAGCCTTTGGGGTGTCTGTGAATTGCTAATGGTCCGAGAACGAAGCTAGTTGGGTCTCCAAAACAACTGGCCTAAGGGTGAATAGAGGATAAATGAGGATATTGATATTAATATAATATATACTACCGACCGGTGACTTAGGACTTGTGTGGGCCAGTGACATAGTAGTTGTGGCCCACTACTCCTAAGTCATTGGGAACACAAAAATTGCAGAGTTGCTGATTCAAGCCTCATGACTTGGGAATTGTCGCCAGCTGATGATTAAGCATTGTATTTATTATGTTTCAGGGAGGGAGGGGAATTGATGCACACAGAACAAATGACATAAGAATCGGCCTGCTCATCATGTTTCATCATGCCTCCTGGTACTTACAACTCCTATCTCACATAATTTATTCATCTTTTCCGGCAGCTTTCTGTTTTTTTAAGCTCTTCTTGTGTGACAATGTTTTGATGTGTGGAGTTGTGTACATTGCTCAAAAATGCTTTAAGACCCATGACAAAGGAGTTGTAAAACCCACGATACGTTTTACAACTCCTCTGTCACTAGTCGAGAGTATATATATATATATGTATATCCCAGGGCATCCAGTTACCACTATAGCTGGTAACCAGTGGTTCCAAAGACTAAAACCATAGACCTAGAATCCCTGGTTCCTTATATAGTGGTAATTGGGATGCACTGGGTATGTAATTGTTGAGGTGTTGAAATTCTGTTTAACTTCAAAACGTTGCTCACTGAAGTCAATGCGCATTGGCAATGGCCTCCAACACAGCATTCGATGCCCTGAGTCCTTTGGGACGTGGTTTCACGGGCCTTGGGGCCAAGCGTTTGCAGTAGTTTGTTGGGTTCCAAGCCAGCGATTCGCATGAAGATCACGTTTGAAGCCGATGCTCCAAGAATCCTTGACCACTTACATCATCTTACAAATGCCCATTGATTGACCTTAGGACCTGCGATATGTGTTTTCTATTGTTTTCTCACGCATCCGGACGTCACCTCCCAAGCACCCCCAGTCTCTGCAATGCAGCTCAGAGACGAAGAGCGCAAACACGAGAATTTCTTTCTGAAGATACCTGGGTCTGGGTGAGAAATTCACTGTCAAAAGGAGAGACCCGAGCTGTCAGGTCATGAACTGGAGACTGAGACAGTCATGAACTGTCGGTCGCACGGTGTGCCAGCCACACTACGGAGAAACTCTCACAACATGATCTGGCAATCTGTTCAAACCCGAACTCCCGGGTGTCTGAGAAGAACACCACACGTTCCAAAAAGTCTGCACTGGTTTCCTTATGTGTCCTTCTATTTGAGGTTGGCCTTCCCGTTGTTGCTATTCCCTAGAGCTCCAAGTACCTTCTGAGGATTCTGAGGTGTTTGGGGTCAGTTTGGAGGGTAAAAATGCCTTCTGAGGAGGTACTTGGAGCCCTAGGGATTCCAAGTATGAGGAACCACTCATGATTACAGCATTCTTCAAACCTCGGGCTCTACGAGGTGGCTGAGGTGCATGAAGGACTTTCACAGCCTGAGAGGACTCTGTCGGGACAAGGGGATCCCTACGACCTTGAGCCAAAATAATGCGCGACGCAAGGCCGCATGCTTAGAGCACAGATCTCTCAACATGTCTCAACTGAGGCACCTGCCATTCGGTCTTCAAAGGAAACAACGTTACAGTACATAAGGATACTCCTAGTATGACATGTGTGCCAAAATTGTGAGAACACAAAGAACACATTCAAGATGTGCATCTTGTTGGAATCTGCGCGCCCAGTGAGCCCTACTATGCAATCACTATGCCATTCCACTATGCCTTCCGTGCCATTCATGAAGTGAGCAAAGTGTCCCTCATCCCACAGCAACTCAGCCTTGTAATCGTGGATGAGAGCTCGGCTCTAAGTCCTGTCTTTGTCTTCCGTATGTGACCAGGGTGTGGTCGAAGGCATAGCTAACACCTTGTGACCATATATGATTGTATATGATTGTATGTGACACCGGTAACGCAACTGAGCAGTGGGGCCGATTCCAAGAATATGTCGAACGCAAGCGGCGGAAGTGCCAATGCCAAACGATAAACACAACTGGGAAGGTGGGGGTCTGTAAGTGAGACCTGGTTCGCAGCAACATGAAGCGCGTGACGAGACCTGTTCCCCATGTGCAGACTGGGTGGCAACTTAAGTTAGCTGTTAGCCGCACAATTCCGTGAAGTGCGGGTGACAGCTGATAGCTGAAGAATCTTTAGGTAACAATACCAGGGCCTTCCGTTTGTCCGGTCGTTTTTGGACTGGCCTCTGAGAGGTGCCTCTTATATATAGACACCTCTTGGTGTCGGTCCTGGTAACTCTACTGCTCTCAAACCTTGGTCGGCACCACATGTTGTGCATCCTGGACAATCGACTTGATCTCATCCAGCCCGTGCCCGTCGTACCTGCAGCTGGTCACATACAGTTACACAACTGCCCTTGCACAAAGTTCATGAGATTCAGTCCTTGGTCCGCCCTAGGTATCCCTCCAATGGCTCAGCCCAGCGCAATCTATGCAATGCAACGTCTGGATGAGCATATTCAACCCCTGCTCTGCTTTCGAAGGCCAGGGTGGATTTGCTGAACACTGACCTGAGCCGCGAAATCAAAGAGCCCGTTCAGGTGGGACGTCATTGGCAAAACGTGTTGAAACTTGGCGTCGCCATCTTTCCCTGATTAGTTAGGGATCCAAGTACCTTCTCAAAAGGCACTTGGACCCTCCAAACCCACCCCAAACACCCTCTAAGAAGGTCCTTGAATCCCTGGGGGTTCAAGGCAGTCCCGGCGTTCGCCGGCAGTCCCGGCGTGAAACACGGCCGTGGCCAGGCGACGGACACGGCGCCTCCAAAACCGATGATCCGCATCGACGGAACTCTGGTTCTCCGAGAGCTGCCACCTGAGACTCGTCAGGAGAGCTGGATAGGCTGGGCTGCAGCCACGGGTCTCCGTGGAGCTGATTCTCTACAAATACATATGCAATTGCCCTATATATTGTACCATATTATTATGCAATCTCTTTCACTACATGCGACTGGAGATCATGTTGCGGACTGAGATGACCTACCAAGCCGGCGATTGCCAGGAGCCCAATGTCGTCTTTGGTACAAAGAAGTCGCTCTGATCAGCCACGTCGAGAAAAACTCCACCGATCGCAACGCATGCGTTTTGGGGTCCTATGCTCTCAAACGTTGCTAACCAAAACCATACAAAAACCATTCAAAACCCTGAAAGCCGCCACCGACGATGGTAGTCTGAGATTTGTTTCTCTGCAGGTTCACTATTGGAAACCTTTGTGGCTCGCGCAAGTCTTCAAATTGGTGCCCATCGAATCAAGTCTCCACCACAGTCTCTGCCCCTCCTTCTGGCCAAAGGGCTCTTCAGCAGGCAAGGCCTGCAAGGTCTTGAGCATCTCCTGTATCAGGGATCCCCTGTCTGACTGGCTGAGCTTAACACAGCAACTGCTGCCTCCTCAAATCTCCTCAAGCCTCTACCTTTTGGTAATACTATGAGTTGGTCTCTATTTGTTGGTGCTGGGGTCTAGCAAGCGGCCACTTGTGACCACTTGTGGGATACCAAACGTGAATATTGGTTGGTGTGGGTGTAGAGTTCGCCTCCAACCTACGCAATGCCAATGCCTGTCGTCTTGACAAGAATTGAACGTCCGAGCCATCTCATCAAACGTCATCAAACTCATCCCTCGCATCTTCAAGTCTTCCCCAATTCCAAAACCCCAACAGTGCAAAGCCTGTGGGATTCCCAGGCCCTGCAAACCACATGTTCAATGGATGTCACCCCCTCTAAATATACTGTCTTCCCTACACTGCCAACCGTCCAGAACGGTTGATCAGTCCTCTGCCAGGCTATTGGGCAAGAAGTCCTTCACTTGAACCAAGCCGCCCTCCTGCGAAGCGGCACAGAAGCCGTGGGGAGTCACTGTTGAAGGACTGATGAAGCGTACCGTATGCAGCACAGGGTCACCCAATCCACATTGCCTCCAGTTTGTGGTGGTGCAATGCCCTATAGACTTGCCGCACCGGTCGTCAAAATAATCCGGTGCCGGCCGGTCTTGCTTTGAAGGAAGTCACTATGACTGGACCTACAGGGCTGGGGCGAGCCCTGATGTGGGCGGGATTCAGCCAACCACATAGGTTTCGGCGGGCTTTTTGTATCACATGATGGCTTATGATGGCCATGGCTATCCATGGCTATCTATGGCTCAGTGGCATGAGAAACGTAAGACTAGCCGACTAGCCGCCTGAGCTGATGTAGGTTCATACAATAGTTTTAGCTGGCACTCACTGGTCTCGATCTCGAAGTAAAGTGTCTCTCCAGCGCTGTGGGCATCTCGACAAGTTCAGGTTTCTCGACAACTTCAGGCATCAGGATTGGTTCCAACAAGAACGAGAGAGTCATTGAAAGCTCGATGGGCGGATTCTCATTGAAATCCTTCGATTTATAGTTTGAGAGTTGTCCAAGGCAAAAGTGCTTAGAGGTGTGACCTGTTCTTGTGCCATCTTGTGCCTGTATAGCAGCTCGTGTGGTAGCTGTAGCTCCTATAATAAGGTTGAACTGGTCCTCCTGATGAATTGTGATCATAGGGGAACTTTTAGTTGTTCAAGGGAGCATGGCTTGTTACAGAAGAGTGCATTTCTATATTGTTTACATCTTGAACACAGGCCGCGTCTTTTGCCTGCAAGGTATCTGCCCACCACCGATGCCACCAAAGCCACCACCCTGATTCCCCAGCCTGCTGGAGGAAACAACGCCTCGGCTGCAGAAATCAAAGAAATCAATTTTGAGTCTCGGAGATCCCTAGCTCACTCCAGCGTCCAGCGAGCCCAGCCTCCCCCTCCGTCTTCAGCCCAAGCCACAGGCCGTTGCTGCGCACCTCCGAGAAGAACTCCTCCCCGCCAAGGCGTCGCCTGAACCACGCAGGAGAAGACACTGACGCTGCCCAGCTGGAATACGAGGGTGTCAAACTTCAAGGATCTTCAAGGTATATGCTTGTGTTGGCAATGGCAGCCATACATCACCAACCATCAAATAATGGCAGCTTTGTGAAAAAAAGCGTGCTCTAGTAGTCCTCCAGCCTTGATTTGAGGAACTATGATCAACACGGTCACAAAGAGACGCACCACCGAGAACTCCTCAGCACCGCACCACCATCCTCCCCCCACGCAGCGCCGCAGCGCCCGTCTAAGGTTCCAACCATGGCGCTTTCAAACGGCCCGGCACCTTAAAGTCCGACGCCGTCTGACCCCGATGTTCCTCGAAAATGACCATCCTCGATGTTTGAACTCCAGGCGTGAAAAGGTTGAGTCAAAGGATTGAAAGCCATAGGGCTCTGGAGGGTTGAACATTGACATTGAGCCATAAAGGTCCTGAACATTCCTGAACCATGTTCACGCAGTCCGGTGCGCAGTCCGGATGTGTCTTCTTTTGGAGGGGGGGGACACCTGGGGGCCAAGTACCAAGCTGAGTGCCAGTAGGTCTGCTGCCTTTAACTACGCTACAGGCTGCGGCTATGGTGTCTTTCTTCTTGTTTTCCTGCACAAGTCCATACGTTTCGCCAGGCGAACCCCCGTCACCCTTGGTGCCATTGTGGCTTGGTCCCACCAGTTCTGCCCTGCCCGGCTTTTTCTTTCGCGCCCAGGTCCAGCCGCACCGGTTCACATCTTCCTGGATCGAGGAGACCAGGCCGTTGTAGGACCTGGTCAGACCGATGTGAGGGCGAGAAAACCAGTGCGATCTGTACCAACCCTAGGGCTCCAGCCGTACCTCCTGAGAAGGTCTTTGGACATATTTGGACCCTCTAAACCTACTCCAAACACCTTCTTAGAAGGTACGACTGGAGCCCTAGGGCAATACAAGTCTCCCCTACAAGGCACTCAGACTCATGAAGCTTCCGTCCACTCCGATTTGATGCCCGTCTCGAACTTGAACAGTCACTAACTCACGTTGAATGAGTGCTGCGCTAGCATCCGTGAATTTAGATGTGTTGTCAAACACAGTCAGAACTTTCTTAAGCCGACCCTAACTGCGCAAAAGTATTGAAGAATCCCACTATACGTCGAGGTCTTGTGCTTTTCTCCCAGTTAGGACACCCCTTTGAACGGTGCAACCCATAAGACGGGCTTTGTAACGGCATACTTCAATCCAGACGCATGCTGGGCGTTCTCAGCAGCCTGCGTGTGCGAACGTGCTTCATGGGGCATCTTGGGTTTCGTCGTACGGCAAAATCCGTCGAGTGACGCGCCTCCAAACTCTGCCATCCAGCCTGCACTCGAGCCACAGGCCACAGGTGACATACCTAAACCGCTTGGCCTAGGAAATCTGAGGTCAAAGAGGTGCATCTTCCAAGCCTTCCAAGAAGGTCCAAGATCCGCGATGGACCATAAGATGAAGTGTTTGGTCATCATCTACTCGTCCCCTCTCGCCACCACACTAGCTCCATTCGGCCGGTCCGGCCGCCTGGCTGCATAGTCCTTCATGGCTGCGTAAACCTCCTCCTTCGGAGCCTCCTGGCAGTGTGCTGCGTCTGATGGCCCATGAGGTGCCAGGTGAACAGCCTTTGTCCCAGCGCTGCAATCGGATCATTAATTAGCTCCATTTTGTGCATAGGTGCAATGTCGCCATGGAAGAGATACTTTCTATGCCTGCTGCAATGGAAGTGATCCCACAAGGAACTCATCGTTTGCACCATTCAACGAGAAATTGTGACCCGATGTTGGCAACCTCACCGACGGGAAGACGTCTTCCCCATCCACATCCATCCACAATGGGAGGACCTCACAAAACATGCAAATGACATTCTTCCAGGACCTTCAAAGTGACCTCTTTGGAGTCTGTAAGTGACCTCTTTAGGGACTAAGTGACCTCATCCTGGGATATAATATGGTAAAGACATGTAAAGACCCAGTGTCAAACCCAGTGTTATGACAATGAACCGAGCTCTGGATGTGGCCTCCAAAATCTTTCACTCATGATACTCATGCAACAAGCAGCAAGTGGCAGCAAGCAGTGTGAAAACGAATTCCCGACTTCTGACCTCAAACCTCAAAATGATTGAATATGATATAATGATATATATATATATATATATTGAATGCAACATCCCCCACTCACTCGAAAACTGACTCTTCTTGACCAAGGATTAGGAAACCAGTCCCAACATCTCAGACCAACAAATCCTTCAAAACAATGCAGCCGCACAGCTTTCCCAGGGCGAGGAACTCTGTGTGCCCCTAGTTGTGCCGCCTGTCGGCTCTTTTGCCATCCCACCAAAGGCTGGCATCTAAGCTGGAGGGCCTATCTCTCAATAATTCCCAGCCTCTAGCAAACACCAAAGCATGCAACTTCCCCAAATGGGAGTTCTGCCTCTTCCAACCGCACCCTTCTTGGCAACATGCCAAAACCAATGCGAACCTGTCCTGGCCACTGATGAGCTTCTTCGAGGCAAAGTTGATGCGCAGCCTCCGGACCGGGCGAAGGTTGTGGAAAATCAAGCTGGCCGCCCACATTACCATTGATTGGGCATCACTTTAATCAATGGCTGCAATCTGAGCTGGCTGTGATCTCGGCAGGAGTTGTGCCCTCGATCTGACAAACATGAGTGGATAAGTTCCACTTTGATCCACTTTGTATAAATGATGCTTTATGATGCTTTTGTTGGAGGGGTGGCTGTGTCAAGTGATCTTCCAGTGATTATTGGCAAACATCTGGGCAAACAGCCAGCAGCGGGGGCGTCGTATCATGCTATCATAGAGACGCCTGAAGATTTCTCGTTGGAGATCTCACCAAGTCTAGATGGCCAGCGAAGCCAGCATCTGGCCGAAACAGCCGTAGGAATACCGACCAAATTGCTCGTGAGTCCAAGTGTTGAACTGATCCAGTCCAAGTTCGCACTCGGGCAAAGCGGAAGCACGTGTTACCACATGAACAGACGACTGTTTCTCAAGCTCTCCCCCACTTGCTCCCTTCACTTCGACCCACAAAAAGCCCACCCTCCGCGCCCATGCATCGATCCCCTCGACGTCGAGGACATCGCCGTCGCGACGCGCTGAGGCGCCCACAGCGAGTCGCTGGGCGCCGAGCGCCAGGCACCGTAGATCTTCTTGGACCTCACGACGGCGGTCGACGCGGCGTACAGTAAAACTTAAAAAGTCCATGTAAATGGGCAGCTTCCCTCCTTGGATCCCAAGTGCACCTTCCTCTCCATTGACGAAAAATGTGTAGATTCTGCTGCGTGTATGTTTTGAAACTGGTCCGCGAACGGTGCCTTGGTTCAGGCTAATGCAAGACCCTCAATGATTCACTGGAATGTTCCGGGATTGGCGAGAGCAACCAACAAGCTTTGGCTCCATACACACTGATTGAGAATTTATATATATATATATATATTTTTTGGGGGGAGTTATTTTATATATTTATATATGTCGGGTTTCTCCATAGATGTGGTGGGCCCCAAAGAGGATCAAACATGATCAAACCGTCCCAATCGGCTCTAGTTGGACATGGGTTGACGACTAGGCACACAAGCGCCCGGCGAAGGCTCTTCAACGACTCATCGCCTGCGAAGACTGGCAGTGTTGACTTGGAAGAAGGATCCAGCATGGCTGAGGATCACAACACCACGGTTGACCACCGCGCATGAGCAGAATAACTCCGAGGGAAGTCAACCTACCAGGATTTGGTGGGGGGAAGTTTCGACTCACAGCCAAGAAAAGGTACAATGATCTCTGCATGTTTGTTGGATGGCTTGGAGATGTGTCATGATCCGGCAGGCAAGGCTTGCCGCTTCACCCTCCAAGCAGCTGCTGGTTTTGCTGATCGAAAGCACAGCCTGGCAGCCTGCATGGATGGACCAATGGACATCCAGGCTGCAAGACATTGTGGATGCATCATGGTGCATCCACCTATGATGCTCATCCTTTCCAACCTGTGTTGAACAAAATCAACTCACTCCACAAAGACAATCAAAGACACATATATCCAAACAGCACCACGTTGCCTCAGCTTGTCCACCCTGGACCCCAGAAAGTGCCACATGGGAGGATCATAGAATCATAGACAGCTACCCCGCCATACAACATTGCACACCCAACTGGAAGGCCGTCGCTTTTTGCACATCCACTGCAATCCGCTGTCTGCTGTGGCCTGCGCAAACGAAGGCTCGGCGCGTATCGCGCGTATCGAGCCTTCTCTCTCGTCGATTCGATCCCGTGGCATCCCGTGTCTCTTTCTCCGTGTTAGCATGATATAGGATCACAGTTCGGATCACGTGAATCTTCAGCCTGCAAATGGATGGGAAGGCGTCCAAACGAAAGGCACAGCTACGCGCGCGGCGGTTGAGGATCAAACGCAGGGCGTCGCTGCTTGAGACAAGGTCGTCTCAAGCAGGCTCAGGAGGCCTTCTGGACACCCGCGCGAAGTCGTTCAGGTAGGCCGGCAGCATCAATGAAGTCGTTTTGGCGTCCTGAGAGGATTGCGGGCGACAACAAAACTTCAAGGGTGTCAGTATAGATCTGTTGAATCTGCTAAGTTGTCTCAGTGAACATTCCAGTGAGAGGGCGAATAGTATGCGCGTTTCCTAAATGTCTGTCGTAGATGTCTCATTTGCACCTAAAGGCTGCGTAACGCACTACATGATTGGACCGGGTCTTGTGCCGTGTGGGACTGAAAGCCATGCAGGATGAGAAGGCCTTTCCCATCGAGAAGGAATGCTGGGTTCTGCCGTGTGGGAATGCAGTGTCTCTTCTAACCACCTGAATGTCGCAACATTCCCCCTCCCACGCCCGGCGGTACATGGTCCATCCACATCTGGCCCACCGATACAAAAACAGAACCGTGACCGTCCGTGCTAATCTAGATCTGGAGGGGTACAAAGCGTCCGTAGGATGCGAATAGACATGTAAACAACCCGCAGCAAAGGGCCAGCCAAAGGTTCTCATCTTGAGACGAAATCATCAGCACATTGGACTCGACCTCTGCATCCTCCATGTGCCTAGGGAGGATGTTCCGAGCCATTCGATTGCAACATGATTTGGAAGTCAACGTGGCCAATGTGCAAAATTGTGCAAAGGCTAAAATGGCCACATCATGCGCCAGTGTAGATTTTGGGTTGACCATGATTGAACGTTGAACATTTGAAGACTGTCGGAGAACACCCTAATTTTCAGACTTTTTGCACAACATCCACAACCCAGCACAGAAACAATTCAACAATCAAAATCTTCTCCTCTCGTGCTTCGCCCGTTGATGTACCCCCAATGGTGTTCCAGGTGGAAGTGGTACAGGTGGCTTCAAGGCATGAAAGATCCTGAAAGTATGGGCAGTATGGGATCTAAAGATTCCACGTCCAATTCCCATTGCTACGGCAAGCACCCATCAACGGAGTTCCAGTGGAGTTGTCATTGTTGGACACGGAGTGATTGAGTGTGGACGATGGGCCATCGGCCAAAAACACCACTGGGCCACCGACATGGAACTCCTGCGGAGGTTCAACGTTTCCCTGGGGATCCAAGTACCTTCTCCCACCGCCAAACACCTGGCGGTGGGAGAAGGTACTTGGATCGCTGGCGTTTCATGGCGTTCCAAATCCGATTTCGGCCGCGTTCTTCCCCCGCCGCCCTGGAACAGCGCGCTTCTTGCCGCTTCGTTGCAAGGACACGGCAATGGGGCCAGGGCTCCCTGCACCGGTGCTTTCGTGTTGAAAGCCAGTGACTGAGAGGCCGGGTCTGATTGGAAAGCACATGGATGGCGTCCACTTGGCTCCTTGCACTTGGCTCCAACGTCCACTTGGCAACTCCCCTTTTTTTGACACAACTGATGTTGGAAACCCTTAACTGATCACGCCCCGATAGACTGCACCATTTCCACACATAAGTTGTTTTTGGTTGAAATGGTACACAAGGCAATCCAAATCACCCGGTCCCACAAAGCTTTAATAACAAAAAACGGCGGTTCCCATCGTGCCTTCGATGCTTCCGATCGGCGTCATCGTTGAGGGAGATCTTCCAGGCAAAGGCTCACGGGAGCGCCAGCGTGGGGCCAGGGGCTCCTGCGCTGAGCTTCAGTCATACAACAAGGAAAGGAACAAAAGAAAACCTCTTCAAAGTCTTCAAGCCAGCACAACCGTGAAGTGCGTGAAAATGTCGTTACGGACCATCTAATTATCTATGCCCCACCCACACGAGCCAGCTTATTGCTGCTTACGTTCGAAAGCTGCATCTGCCCATGTGACACGTGTGCACCTTAAGGGCTATGTGCATCAACTTTCGTAGCAATACAGGCCCTCCCTACACTCGATTAACTAGCATTGAAGAAATGAACAAACCCAGCATCAAACAAATCTTTTATAGGCATAGAGAATTGAGATCATCTACTATCCTGACTGGTTGAAGGAAGGCACGCCCGTAATGCCTGCTGCAAAATGACTTAGAACTTGGAACTTACTAGAATATAGTGTATAATATGCAGTTCTGGTTGCTCCACTGGGCCCAATTCCTGCCTGGGCGCCAGTTATACATAATAGTCTCAAGTATCAGTGGAGGGATGTGGGGACCTTCAAATATTGGCTGTAAATGGGATGTATGTGTGTGTGACATATCAAAAAGTAATGAACTGGAAGTCTGCTTTGCAAGCTCTTGGCACTGTGCCAGGGCAAGTTTGGCGAGGTTCCACCTGCAAGTGTGCCCGGACAACCTCTTAATTGTGTGCGATTGGTTTGGACTTCCGCTGGGAATGGATGAAATTAGTCAACAAGCCCCAAAAGTCCCCGTTCGTCTGTCAACTCTTGTGCAGTGGAAGGTTGCAGCGAAGACTTTATGATGCATTCTCCAATCCTCCTAGATTCTCCTAGCTTCGTGCCCAAAACACCTAAATCCCCACATGTCACCCTTCTGGTCCAACCCGGTCGCTGAAAAAAAGGGTGGATAGAACCCGCCGAAACCGTCCTGGCGCCGCTCGCCACAAGGAGCTGGCCAGGTTTCGACCAGGACTTGCCAGGTGGAACAGTCCATCTCAGCTGAGGGATCAGTTGAAAAGCCGTCTCCATCTGCGTCTCTGGATGTTTCTGGTACATTGGTCTAGTTCTGACCTTTGGCGTAAGGATAGGTGTGGATCACCAGCTGGTTCTGCTCGTTCCACAATGTTCACTGATTGAGGGTGTGGATGGTCTAGTTCTAGGGCTGAGATCACCTGGGGCTGACCCTGCATGTGGACCTGGATTTTGGGACGCACCCAGCACCGGTGTGGTTGAAATACTTGAAACACTTTTGATTGTAGATCCAAATGAAATCAAATAGATAGAAACGGTGTCCAATACACGTTGAAAGGGGTTTTACTCTTCTATCCATTTGGATGTCTACACACACATGCGCCCACTGATCGCTAAGGACCCACATCCACCTTCGTGGGACTCTCAAGAAGAAAGGTCACGGTTCAGTGCCAAACCATCTTGGTACCCAGGAGATTCCAGGAGTCGTTGTGCCTGACCCCATCAGCAAGCTGGTATATGGAGAAAAAACCATGGCCACCACAAAGATCCACAAAGGGGCCTTTGCTCTGGACTCATTCCCCTCTTGAGGCACATCTGCTTGCTTTTTCGCAGTCCATCTTGGGTCGATATCCAAAGATATTCTCGTGAACATTCTAGCGTCCACACACAGGGGCTTCGAGGCTTTCATTCAGAATCCACAGTTGCTGATGTGAGTCAATCTTCCAGCATTGGCTCCTTTCACTGGTCTAACGGCACGTTCGTGCAATTGAAGGAGTGCGGACAGGACAGGCCCTATGGCTCATTGTGCGCTCAAGTCACCTACCAATGAGTCGCAAAAAGAAAGTAAAGCAAACACCAAAAACACACAGGAACACCTCCCCAACATGATGGGCCAGTCTTAGACAGCACTCGTCTCGCCAAGCCGCCGGGACGGCCAGGCAGCTTTCAAGAGTCCTAGGACATCTCTGCAGAGCCAGTCGCGATAGAGTGCGATTGGACTTGCAACGTCTAGAAGCACAAAGCGCGAGGGGTTCGCCCTCGACAGACTCTTCACCATGACATGTTAAAGTCTTACTGCAGGCTTCAAGAGATGTGACCCAATGTGTGCGGCCCACATGTGTTGCTTTCCACACACCCAGCCGAGCTGCACAAGTGCTGATCTTAACTCTGAAACGTCCACGTTCTCAGGCAGCTTCGCGGGGAAGGACACCACTAGCCGCCCGCCCGTCTCGCGGGAACGGCCCGCAGAAGGCCCCGGTCTGAGGAGAATCCTGGTGCGGGACGCGGACCGTGAAGGGCCCAAGTGGATTTTCCACATGCAGAAGCGGCAAAGCATGCTTAGCATGCTATATCTTCTGTTCTTTATGCTGAGCATGCTGCACATGTTTGTTTTTGTTGGTATGTTGTGATGTTGTGAGTGCTTTGCAAATCACATGCACAACCTTCGCATCATGAGAGTGGCCACTATGATCGCCTGCTTCCCTCTCACCCAGCCTACCTTCCACAAATAGAGCAGCGTGACCGCCCAATAAACTTGTCAGCGTTTTTCATAGCTTTTGTTTCTATTACTGCTGTTGGGCAACCATTGACGAATTGACGATTTGTCTTCCCCTGTATAGTGCTACTGAAGCAGCAGCACCCACCAACTGTTCCAAGCTGCGGCTATCCCGGCTTCCGCTAATGTAACTAAGCCGCCCCCCCCTTTGGCTTCACACTTGGGTCTGATGGTTGCTTCCCCCGCCCCATTGATCATGTGTAATCTAATAGCCTAGGTGCGTCACTGACTTGATCCGGTCGCGGTTCAGAGCTGGACGGAGGGATTCGCACAGGGAGACCACGTAGTCCTTGCAGGAACGAGGAGCGGGACGTTCCCGGGCGTTCCAATCCATGGCTCGACGGGACTCTGGAAGCACAAAACCAAAAAAAGTGAGGGACAAAAGAAACAACAAATCGCACATTGAAACATATGGAAGGTGAAACATGTGAAAAAGGGACCATCCCAAGGCCAAGCCCTTGGCCAGTTGCACGGGCTTGGTACGTGCCGTACGTGCTGAATCATGGGTGTATAGTATGGGGCTAGTTTCAATCAACCCGTGGCGACACAACAATCTGAAGCTTTTGTCACGGAAATTCGAGACGGATCGCAAATGGAACGGAGTAGCTACGCAGTTCTTGCCCCCACTTTCCCCGAGAAAAACAGCTTCAGCCAAGAAGTTTAACTTCTAATTACTGGAGAGATTTGTAGGTGGCAGCATCAAGCTAAAGCGGAAGAGTGAAACATAATAATATTAAACCTCAATCAACCTCAGAACTGGCTGCGTTGGCTCAAGCCTGCTCAAGCCTGGCTTAGCCTCTCCTCCACTTCGACACAATGGCTCCACCAAACATCGGCACCTCGGATCCGCTTCGGACGGTGGTCCGTCCGTTCGGGAGGGATGAACCTCTCAAGAGTCTGACCTAGACATCCGTAACGGATTGGGCGTTTGGGCTGGTCCATGACTCATGGATGGGACAAGTCCATTTCGGCTTTGGTTTGAACAGGTCAGCTCAAACAACCAGATCGGGCATTCACAATGAAGGGGGGGTGGTACCGCCGTTGGATTTGCTTCCAAGTTTGCCAGATGTTGCCAGCACGTCTGGTTTGTGTATATGTCAGGCGAGGAATGCAAACCAAACGGACATCGGCATTGTTTCGTGATGGGGCATGGCAAACGCTGGCAGTTGCCGACGGCCAGCGTGGTAACTATGACCGACAAGCTTGGTGCTGTGGTCTCATGTGGTGAGTGTGTTTTTTCACCAGAGTTGTTGGCCATTGCTTGTGTTGCGGTGCTGGGAAGTTCATTTTTTCTCCAAGATGCACCCCATTCCAAATCCACTCCACTACTGCAAAATCGCCGCCAAGGGCCCACGATGGATGCTACAAAGTGTGAATGATCACTTGATGTTTCTTGTCACAATTATAACACCCTTGATCATTCCAGTCAGTTTGAACATTTGGACGCTGCACTAGGACCTACAGTCTCAGTCTATGTATATATTTTTTTTTGTTCAAAACAAACCATTTCCCCGTCAAACCACGGAACTAGTTACTAGATTTACTAGCGAGGCGCCCAAACAGCGGCAGCGATGAAAGCTCTTCGCGTCGTACAGGCCTTGAACCTGGCTGCATTCAGACTAAACTAAACAACACCCAGGAGTGGAGCTGCTTTTTGGTGCACCAAAGAGTGTGCAACCTAGAAAAAGGGGCACACTGTCAGAAAGTAGCCAAGACAGGTGTGGAGATATCAAATCATGAAGTGTTGCTTGAGGCTCTTCAGAGCCACGTCTTCAATTATATAATTACATATGAAAAAATACATCCCGTGTCCTCGGTCCTTGAGGATTGCAAAAATGGCGCACTGTAAGAAAAGCGACAACTGCTCCGCAGCAGGCGTGATCGGCATGGCTGTGCACCAGCCATCTCAGCCATAGAAGCGACCCAAAGCACAATACACAGCGGAATTCTGCTGGCATGTTCATGGTTCTCAGTATTATGCATGGGCAGCCCATGGTCAATGTCCTTTCCTTACAGGAAGCACCTGGACGGCATAAGGCATACGTGGCACAGCTACACATGGTTCAAGACCCTGACAGGCCATGCTGGGCTTCAATCCACAGCTTGCGTCAAATCACCATCCCAGCAACACACGCACACACACATATATATATATATTCTAATAAATATGCAGAATGTCTCTCTCTGTTAATATATAAATGAGTGTCGGACAATATTACTTATTGCCCGCAAACGACGTTCATAATTTGGGTGGGCCCTATCGGTTTTCAGGTTTCGGCATCTCTTTAAATGTATTTTGGTAGTACCCTATCGGTCTCAGGTTTTCCTATATCTACATACAACTCTTTGGGGTATCAGTTTTGGGTAGGCCATCACCCATGTTAGAGGGTATCGGTTTTGGGTGGGCCCCTATCGGTTTTGCAATCAAATCACTGTTTAAAAAACGATGTCCAGCCGAAGGCTACTGCTGACTTACAGTAATTCTGTCGAGTACTCATATATATATAATATGCTGCTCATTGGTTCTTCCTGGCCATGCTCAAGCCGAAACAGGATTGCTTGGGCCAGTTTGGGAAGCGACGAAGCGATGGAAATTCTTCGCATCTTGATATCAAATAATATATCCAACAAGGCTTAGACGTCTCGGATGGACAGAACCAGCTGAGTTGGGGGAATCTGGTCCATGTAGCGCACAACCGGTGGACATGCTCAGACATGCCCCCAGAACGAGGTGAGAAGCAGGTGAAGTGGCCATCTGGTCAGTTCTGGTGCAAGATCCAATGGAAACACGGACCTTAGCTACCCCAGCCACAGTTTCATTTTGTCCAACAGTGCTGGCCAAGGCATATGGGTGAATAGTGGATCATGTCCAAGCATTATAATTGAATCATGTCGGGGAGCCACGGCCTGCCCTAGCCGGCCACAGGAACAAAAATCCCCTCGTGCACCTGCATCCAAGGGCGCTTCCCCAGCCACTTGCAAGGTGCGCCTGTCAGGGCCGACCAAGGTCTCCGACCCTTTTCGGGTGGTGCAATGGAGGATCGGTCGCGCCCATTGGTTTATGGAACGCTGGTTGTCTTGTCGAGCATAGAGCATGTAGTGAACAGGATATCTACTTAAACATCCTAACTCTCCTATCGCCTAACTCCCAACAGCCATACCACTTTTCAGACCAGTTTCAGCCTCTCCAGGCTTCGGAACAGCCAAACGCAGCTGCACGACACCAGTGGACCAGCGTGCCTGTTGGCAGTGCCATCGCAAAAAAGGGCCACCGCTTCGTCTAGCTCACCTGGGTAGAAAAATAACTGATTGGGCGTGCTGCAGGGAAGGTGGTAGGGCTTGGTAGGGTTCTTATGGTAGGTGGGTTTCAACTCACTTGAGCAAGTTTAAAGCACCAGTCATTGAGATCAAACCATCCCAAACAAAAATTGACCATAAACGATCTCAAACCACCCAGGCTTTGGTCTTGGACGTTATCGTTTGGCGACATTTCAGGCACGAACTGTTCAGCTCGTCGTCCAAATAGCCTCCGCTCCGGCTCGCGCGTGGGCACGAGAGGTCAATGGATTTCTGCTGTTCACATATATGCATTGCATGGATAAAGAGTAGACGGCACAATCCCCAATGTCGGTGGTTATGTGGGCCCCCATCAACAAAAACTGAGAAGAGGGATACGAAAGCCAGGACAAACAAGCGGGGTACCTTTTTTCCGCGTGCGGCAATGGCCGCCAGGGGCCCGGGGATGGCTGAAGGCTGGGTCAGCTGTATGCTATGTGTCTATATGCCTGTGTGTGTGCATGTACACAGTTCTTTCAAACATGTTCCTTGCTGCAACCTTTCCTGGTCGGACAACCTTCACTGCTGTGGTGGATGTGGTTGCCCAAGGCCCTGGTCTTTCTTTTGGTTTCATACTTGGACTGCTGTCCCCACCGCTGCCGGCGATTGGCTTTTAGAGGAGCACGCAGGTGACGGCACGTTGATCAGGAAAGGTTAAGAGGCTTCCTTGGAAGCACTCAGCGCTAAACACATGGAACCGCGGTATTCTTCAGGAAAAGATGCAGACCAACAGCAGCCACGACAACAGAGGCCAGTCAATCCCCATCGAAAAGCGGCAAGGTCTACAGCAGGTGCAACAAAACCCTCTCGATCTTGAGGAAGCTCTCTCTCTCTGTCTCTCTCTCTCTCTCTCTCTTTCTCTCTTTCTCATTCTCCTTCTCTTTCTCTCAGCGCTTCCTCATCCTCAGGGGCACATCTTTCCTTGCGCCCACCCTCTCCGTTCCTTGCGTCCTCCACCAACACATGAGGTGCTCTGCGCTGTGTCCCATTCACAGAAGCAGCGATACGAAAGGCAAAGGAGATGATGTAACGTCGATTGTTTTTAGCACAACATGTTTTGATGGTTTGTGAATTTTGGTCATGTGCTTTTCCAAAAAATACAACTCAAGGCCATGGAAACCACTGGAGTGGGCCAGTTCTTCAGCAAGGAAACAAAGATTGCATGCCTTAGTAAAACAGCTGCAAAAAATGGCTGCAAAAAGAAATTTTGAGAAACCCTTCATCGGTTTACTTTAGTCTAAACAAAGTACTGAAGCTGAAAGCTATGGTCTCGGGGAGTCATAGCATTCGTCTCGGCAGTCAGATGACTGGTCCGAGGCAATGTATATATATATATGTGTGTGTGTGTACATAGTACATAGTCACATAATCACATAACCCTCTCAGCCATGCTCATAAGTCGGTAGGCTGCCCTTGGAATAGCCATGTGTACTACTCTCTGGTAGTAATGATGCTAGTGATGTAGTACTTTGTCAGCTTCCATCTCTTGCATCACCAAGCTACCAAAAAATCACCTCCGTGTAACAATAAAAACACCAGCAGCCAGCAGCCTTACATGGTTTACTGTTTACGTAACTCTTTCACCGTCTCCCCCCTCAACGAACTACGTTGCATCTTGGAGTTTGTGCCATCCACTCTGAAACCAAAGTACCAGGCCTGTGTAAACACAATAAACTTTAAACGGATCTCAGCAACTGACGAAGAAGAAAACTGCGTGTGCACCAAACCAGTACCTACATGTCAGTTGATAATGCCTGGCTATCTTGTTTCTGGGCTCCCGGAAGCATCGTGACCGTATGTGACCACACCATATGTATGGAGCCCAGGGGCTGGGCCTAGTCGGCGCAGGATCTCCTCACACAACTGTGGGGAATCCGCCAGGAGGAATGGCCCACCTGGCGCGGTGATGGACACCCGCGAGCGAGCGTCACGGAGCATCGGCCCCAAACCGCCCTCAAGGTGATGGTTGTTCAATTGCCTCATATACCCTCATTCAATGCCGTCCGAATAACTCACCTACCAATGTTCATCTTCTCTTTTCGAATCCATGAGGCTCAACTTAGATGTGGTCGTTTGGACATGTTCACATCACCTGTCGGAGATGAACGATACTAATTATATAAACCGTTAAACCATTGGCTTTTGATGGCTTTTGTATGCTTTTGTTTAACGCCTCTGGGCAGGGAGGTCAAAAGGCCAATATCGTTGAGGCTTTTGGGTGAAAACCACACGCCGTGCTTCTCACAGGACAGCTGGCCGCGACGGTCCAGACCGGCCAGCTAGGCACTTCAGTGAGGCTACACTTGGGACCGAAGGACTGACTCTCTAAACGAGTAGGAAAGAAGAATTGAGCACTACCTACTAGTGGTGTAATAAGTAAGGAGTCCTTACTAGTAGTGGGGTCCTTACTACTTACTTAATGTAGACAAGATGAATTGAGCACTGGGCTTTTCAAAGGTCCTTCAGAGTTTGTGAGGTCCGCAGTCCACCATGTTGGTTAGCCCGGATGTGACCCTAGCCAAGCCACCTTCCAAATTGGCGGACAACACTTTATCTCCGTAACAATCCCAGTCAATAGAATCTGCTGGCCAGCGGCCTCCCAATGAAATGTAGCGGCAGTCGGCCGTGCCATACTTTGCAATGACCTCCTCGGAGGTCCCGGCCATGAGGTGTGGATTCTTTGGTGATCAGGCGAGCCTGTTCCCAGCCAAATATCACAACCATGAGGATATCCTCCTACGCGGCTACCATGTTTTCAACTCTCAACCCCGCACATGACCTCACAAAAAGATTGCCTGACTGCAATGGACGACTCACAACTCCTCCATCATACCCAGCCCCGTCCTTAGTGGCTTTCCCCTTACTGCCCACCGGCATCACAAAGGCCATCTCCCCACGTGACGGGCTCGGGCTCGGCCTTTCGGCGACGGTCTCCGCGTCGCCTCGGTCGTCAAGGAGTACGAAACCAGAGTAGTCAAACAACTGGGTGTGGGCGGTTTCAACAACTGTTTCAACATGTTGCAAGGCCTGACTTGCACATGTGGGCGAGGTTGGAGGTCATCGCTAGTAGGTTGGAGGCCATTAGTTACTAGTAGCAAGAAGCTACTAGTAGCGATGCCCTTTCCGAACATATTGTCCAATTTCAAGGGCCCCACAGTCAGGGCATCCCCTGTGGCGCTATCTTGAGCGAGCTGCATCTGAGGCGATCCTTCAGCTGGTGCAACGGATATTGTGCTGGCCAAACTGTCAGGGCTGACGGTGGATGTGTAGGGTTCTGGAACCAGAACCTGCCCAGGGCGAGCCGTGTGATTCGATGCACCAAATGGGGAAGCACTCCAGCTGGCCAATTTCATCCAATTTCCTTGATGCAATGCATTTGATGGTTTTGAGTCAAGACCATTCAAGACCAGGATACCTTGCTTTAGCTACGCGACGTGCGCTCCGAGTCTGCGCTTCCGCCCTTCAGGGTGCGTGCTGGGGAGTTGGTTTAGCTACGGAGGTCAAGTTACATGGTGTTGGGGCTGCGGTTTTTGACCCATCCCCACATGAGAGCAGCTCTTTGTTCATGGAAAGCTGGGACATGCTGGGACTTGTCATGTCTTTTCCACCCTTCACCCTTGCCTTGCAACTCTCCAGATTCTCCAGTCCCTCTGCACGGGTTTTCAGAGGACCTCCAAACACCACCAGAAAAAGGCTCCACCCAGCATCCCCACGCCGCGTCCACCAGCATCACCACGCGTCGCTCGCCTCGCGATGGCCGGCGCGATGGCGTCGCGGGGGGTGGTCATGAAGCCCAGCTCCAGGAGCCGAGCCACCAAGGCCGTGATGTCGGGCAGCGGTCCACGCTGCTCCTCCTGGAGTCCGAGCGTGGACCGATTGGTCCAGCGAGGAGGGTGACCAATGTGATGTATGATATCCGCTTATCAAATGTGCCAGTTGAGAGGTTGAGAGACCAGAACTAGGACCCCTGTATGTGGTACATAATGGTACATATGGGATGGGCGATTTACAGGGCTTCTCTCAACCTCTCTTGGTGGGTGAGCTCTAGAAATGTGGAAGACGCTCTGACGCCAAGAAAGGTGGGTGAGATCCATTGAGCCGCTCTGAGCCGCAGAAGAGCCCTGAACTGCTGATGAATCAAACATCATGACTACCCGTCCAAAGGGAGATGTAAAACCATTCTGCGGGATGTGGGGATGCGTTAGATGTTGTAAGTTATTTAAGTTATGCAGTTCACATTGCCACTCCAGCGACTCCACATCTCCTCAGGGATGGACTCCACGAAGCCACCGACTCCGGCGCTCGCCGGTTGTGGCGGCTCCAGCACCGCGCGCATCAGCGGCGAGCGGAAGCCGAACCATTTCACCTGTCGGTCGGGTTCCTGGGAACTGGATGATCCTGGATGTGTCTTGGGTATACGTCTTATCTATGAGCAACAGTGGATGATTCATGATGATTGTTAGTAAATGTTAAAAAGGCCTTGTTCAAAAAAATAGTGATCATTCTTGACCGACTCTTACTGGCGGCACCCACGCCCTAGAGGCCGGAACAAGAAGCCACTAAACACCCTGACAGGCCCCTTACTTTTCTCCATGTATGCCCACAAAGAGCAACCAAAAGCACTCACCCCCATGCTCTAGTCTTCCAAAATCTTCCAAGTCTAAGTTCATCTCAATTGAGTTCAAGCTCCGGAGAAGAACCAACGATTCTCCCAATTGCAAATCTAACTCACTTCCATAGCCATGCTCCAATTTGAAAGGATCGAGAAAAGGATAGAAAAGGCACCTCAACCCAAAAGACCTCCGCGCCCAAGCGGGCGAACTGCTTTGAGAGGCCCACGGACTCGGGACAGCGGAAGGCAGGGCCTTCTAACAAGACCTTGGAGCCCAAGAAAGCAACACATGTGGTTGATGGGCAAAGTTTCAGCACCCGCAGGTCCAAAACCCTGGCTGTGAGGGTCAAAACCCTGGCTATGAGGGTCCAATGAGCCTTTGGGTAGGGAAGAATAGGATATGATTATGCTGGTATTTTTGCGGATTGGGGATCATGAGGGGTTAACTGGTGAGATAGCCCAACATACTCTTGATGAGAAAAGGTTACAGTCCGAGGTTGGGTTCTCCCATCCTTGCTTGATGTTCCAATGATGATGTTCGGCCAAGGAAGCCACCAGTGTACAAACAAGCATGTTCCACCCCACTCCGGGACCCAAAGCAAATCAACAGACCCAGGCAATTCTATGCAGCGATTCAAACTTAGCCCAAACAAAAACAACTGCAAATTCCAAGCGATTCAAAGGAACCAAAAGGATTTCAATTGGAATCACGAGGATTTCAGGTGGCAACATGCATTTTCTCTTGGAGGATGGATGGGACGAATTCATTGCGGGGGTTGGGTGAGGTGCTGTGTGGGATTCCCGTTTGAGGATGAACACATGTGTGGAGGTATGACGATTTATAAGGGGATACTCTGGCAATGGTTTTAGGATTCGGGTGGGTTTCGGGGGACCACTAGTGCTCTGGGTGCAGTGAGGTTCTTCTGAATGGGCAACTGCCAAAGGCATCAGCCAACAATGAGCCAGCGTGAGCAACACGTTTTAAGATGTTTTATGGTGTTTGAATCGTTTGGGAGCGTGTGAGAAGACATTGGCTAATGAATAGGCTGACTGAGGGATAGAGGAAGTTCAGAATCGAAGAGAACAAAAAAAGGCAACAAAAACAAGAAACACATGAAACAATTTTATAGAGGTGCTGCATAATCCCCACAAATGGAGATACACGCCCAGGGGTTGATCCTACAGGCCGTAGCTCCGCAGCTGCATTAGCGAGTTGGCTGGGTGTAGTAATATTTCAAGTCTTCAACCCAAACGGGAGACCATACCCAAACACTCCATGGGACTGCCATCATATATGCCTACATTGGGGTGGTTTTGGGGGTCAATGTAGGCATATATGGCAGTCCCATGGAGTGTCTGTGGTACAACACAAAGCCAAAAACTAAGGACCTTCAAGTTGTGACCGAACTTGAGATCCCCAGCAGTCACTTAGTCACCTAGTCCCGAGAGAGAGGCCACTCTCTGAGACTCCATTTGGAGGTCAAGTTGAAGGTCCTGGACGATCATGACCATCCTGGATTGTTTATATATTACATTAATATATATATATATATGTGTGTGTGTGTGCTTTTTTGAGGGGGGCGTTGTTTGTTTGTATGTTTGTACCTGAAATGGAAAACCTCCCATGGCCAACGAAGATAGCGCAACAAAGGCAAAAGGGTCTGGCTGAAAGACACCACGAGCCAAAAGCCCTGCTGAAGCTGCGAACCCAAAAGCAGTAAGCTGGGTCGGCTAGGTTCCCATGTTCAGCCACCTTGGACTCCCAAAGCTCACTACATTATAGGAACTCGGCTTTTTCAACATGTCCACTCAATACCCAATCCAAATTCTGTTCCCCAAGGGACATACATGAGTTACATGGGGATGAACACCCCTTTTCAATTGAACCATGCGCCATGCGCATGATGTGGCGCTGCAACAATAGCTTGACAAACATAGCTCACCTCTTGGTTGACACGTCTTAAGACATGTCCTTTTCAATCTTCCAATCGAAGTTATGGACTATTTGCCTACCTTGATGCGTTTTTGAGATGTTTTTAAGGGTCAATGTATAGGAACATATTCCATGCATGGATTTGTTGGGGTATGACATCTGGCTGTGAACCCCCCTGGTTCAGCTCCCCCCAAATTCGCCCTGCCAGCGACCGCGAGGACCTCCGCGTCGGTTCCGAGGAGCCACTGGACCTGCAGTCTTTGTCGTTTCGCGCATGCATCACATGCAATGGCTACCCTCTGCTCAGCGTAAGGCAAACATACTAGAAATAGAATCCTCAACCTGTGCAAGTGGGTTCTAGTCTATGTTCCTTCTTCCAAGGATAAGTCTGTGGAGGGAGACCCCTATGTTGCACACCGGTTGTTTTTTTGGGGAACACTCATCCTAATTTGTGGCTGTCCTTAGTTATTCGCAGATGCTATATGATGCTGCTACCAGCTCCATGCCGTGATGGATTTGGAACAAACAGTAGGGTAGGGTGGCCCGTGGTCCACTTACTGGATGCCACACGGGTCTCAAAATCAGTGGAACTTCTGGTTCGGTTGATGTCCGTGGTGAGATGGGCACACGCAACTGCTCCTTCCTGTCTTCGCTTGACATGAAGGGTGGGGGTCCATGCAAATCATTGAGGTTGAGATTGCTCACATCTATCTACAGTACTCCAGTCATCGTCGACCGTACGGTTGGTGTCCGGTCGACCTAGTCCATTTTTGGGTCACCGTCACCAGCCTGGAACACCTGAAAGGGGGTTCCTGGATCTAGAGGCGAAGGTGCAGCCGACTGCAACGGTCCAAGTGGCCAACTCCACAAAATCCACGTCCATATTGGCATCGTGGGGGCTTTCTGGTCGTCCCGCACGCTCTGAGGGCATCAAGGCAACATAGGTAGACTTAGACCTCCGCGTCGAGGACGGGGGGGCGTAACATTGATCAAGCGTGAACACACCTCGCCTGCCAAAAGCCAAATAGCTGCTCGCAGCTTCAATCAACTACTGTAACTATATAAGCAAGGTGTACTAGTGTACTGTATGTTGGGACCCTTTGCCTTCCTCCCGGAGTTCTGTCATGAACGATGCCAGTATATAGCTAGGTGTTTTTCAAAACCTCTGCGTGCAGATTAGAAACCGTGATCTCAACTGCGGTTGTGCATATGCGACTGAGCATTTATTTATGTAACACGGCTCTCAAAAATGTGCAAGGTGGGGCGGTCTGGTATTGCATCATGGATGGCAACTCATGGGTTTCATAAGCTTTAATGGGTCTGAATCTCCTCAATGCATGCGACCAATATATTTATATATAGATTAAAATAGGGAACCCTGCACAACCTTCAAAGGGAAATACGACTATTTAGAACTATTTAAGGCCCATTGGTTGGGGGTCTTTCTCTTACATTTACACACCCCGACCCTTCTCGCGCGTAGCGCGAACGTCCAGCTGATCCCTTCCGTCACGTCCCAGCGTCCACCGCACCGCCGCAGAGCCCATCGCCGTGCCAAACGGCGCGGACCGGGTCCCGGTGGGGCGCCGCGGACCCGGTGGCACCGCAACAGGCTCAGCTCCAGACTCGCGCAAGAACTGTTGCCAATCAGGGCGCCGCAGCCTCTGGTCTCTGGACCAGTCTCGAAGAAGCCAGTCCAAAAGGCCATGGACATGGTCGGGACATGCGACAAAAATGCGGAGAACAAAAAAAACGCCTAAACAAACCTGTGGCCGTGAGTCTGAGAATCCGGGCAAACATGTGAGAGATGGAAAACGGATCTCCTGCAAACCATGTTCTTCCTGTCTTTGTTGCTGGGGCATCCATTTTATTTGCAAATAATTTGCCAATAATTTCCTCCACAACAATTAGGCAGTTTTCCGTTTTCCCCTTACGCAACGTTGCTCCCATTCCCGAAGCTGCATCGACCTCACAACTCATGCCACATCAAATCAAACTTTGGGTATATCCAAATACCCGTAACGGTTACGGTCAGTAACAGTGACATATAAGATGATGGTGATGTTGATGGTTAGCAAAGGCTCAAAAATACAAGCGATAATCCTTTAATTAGTGGTTATGGGCAACATTCTGTATAGATTAACTTCATGTTCAGAGGGGCTCGGCGGGGCATCCTCCCAATCAGGCGAGATTCATTCAATGACATTTGTAGGTCTAATTTAGGTCCCTCCTAGAAACAAAGTGAGAAAAGAGCTCGGAAAGCTAAACCCAGCTAGCCATGACTCAGATCTGGACACTGTCCACCTCCCATCAACTGCGGACCCGTCCTTCAGTCCTCCCAGTTGTCCCGGTCCTGGTCCCAACACGACTCCCCATGAGACGTGGACACTCCGAGGCGCCGCTCTTCAGCCGCGAAGACCCCAAGGTACACGAGCTCCAAACGCTCTGCCAAGGCCTCAGGGCTACGTGGAGCCAGGCATGGAACTCTTGAGATTGTTTGGGCCAAATCTTCGCGAACATGTTCACCAGAGTCTCAGAGTAACAATTATAACACTGACACATTATCGTGTATAGCTACAACAAATTCTATATCATGTATAGCTACACATTACCATATATATAGATATAGAATTTATCTAGTTTTAACATCAATACAATGATATTGATATAATATGTTAGCTCCCGTCTTTCACTCGCTTCACTCCTCTTCCTCTCCCATCTCGGCCTTCCAGGCTGCCCGGAACTCGCGGACCCCCTGGCCGTCCCCGTCCATGAGCACCGCCGTCTTCCTCGCCGCGCACCGAGCCACGCGCGAGCGGAGGAAGCAGCGGCCTGCAGGTCGAAGTGGATGAAGAGAGAGGCACCTGGGGGGAAGCGGATGCACCGCACAGATTCAGTTGGCTAAGCTCAGTTTTCCACATCATCTCACTGATGTTGACGAGTAACACAACTAGATAAGCCTTGAGGGTCATCGTCCCAAGATGGTGAGGCTGCTGCTAAGATTGACACGCCTTACCTTTGCCCCCATTGAGGAGAAGATTTTGGAAAGGCCCCCACATGATTAGGAAATGTGAAATAGTGTGTATATATATATATACATATGCTTCACATTGTCGCACATAGTCAAACAGTCACACATGTATACCTACCTTGCTTCTACGGTCTTCCCGCGAATAAGCAAGCTGAGCATAGCTAAGGTGGAGAAATGGTCGAGACGGTGCCTGCAAAGCACCAAAAACATCTTCCAAATACCTGCAAATCAACTATATAAGTAATGATGAGGAAGCACATTTCAGAAAGCACACCCCAGGACACACCCCACAGTAGCCCCATCTACCCCACACATCCCCTCCGTTGGCCATCCAGGTCACACGCCCGATGCCAGCGCGGTTCCGCGAGCACACGCCGTCCACCTCGTCCACCTCTTCGCCCCGGCCAGGCGCAGGCGCGGAACCGCGCGCGGGAACGTCGGCCCCATGGCGGGCATCATGGCGCCAAGGCTCCCAAGGGAAGTGGGAAGCGTTGATCCATTTATTTTAAAGTTCATATTATGATATCGGCAGCTAAATAAAAGATATGATTGCTGCCGGAGATGTTTCAGAATCGGGAAGGAAATGGAAGGAAAGTGAACAAGTGAACATACTTGAGCCAAAGTTGGATTCGAGACGTTGTTGATATGACATCTTGACCTGGTATGGGATTTCATTGGGCTCAACTGAAATGCTTGAACACTTCGCCTGAATGAACGGCTCGATGCAGCTGAATTGATGACCTGCACACGAATCCTGTGTCGAAAGACCCTACACCTCCAAGTACCTCCTCAGAAGGTATTTGGACCCTCCAAACCCACCCCAAACACCTTCTCAGAAGTACTTGGAGGCCTAGGGAGAGTAAATATGTCTCAATCCGTCACATCGATCAAACGTCTTGTTAGGAGCTTTCCCTGACCAGCGTGACATGAAGCACTGAACATGTAAGAACTGATGTTCAATCAATCACGTCGCTTCTGGTCGCACGTGAGCGCTATACCTGCCGGTCTCGCAACGCGTGCGATGACACAAACGGGCTCTGACGCGGCTGGTGAAATGCACCAACAGCAAAATGTGAGACATGGACATGTAACATGGATCGGCATGGTGAGGCAACTTCCCAATTGGCTTTTGGGTAGCTAACACAGCGCCTCCACAACTATTGACTATTGCACAATGGTACTGTTTCTCTTTAAGTTGACACACTTGCATTCATGATCTCAAAAAATGTCGCTGGTGCCATCCATCAGGCACTCGGAGTTTCTTCCAACCACCCAACCGCGTCACGTCTTGGCCGTGACCTTGTTGTTAGGCAGCATTACCTAAGTTGAGCGTCTGAGCCAAACCTGGCTCCTTTGAGCAAGCAGCTTGCAGCTTTCAAGTATTGGATCGCTGGCGTTGGCTCAATTTGCTTCTTTACCAAAAGGGGCTTGTCACTGGCAATCGCAAGCGACACCTTTAAAAGCCAAAGGTTGCGCCCATTCCGGACCTTTGACTCTGCGTGCGTGAAACCAAAAACGGGTTTCACCGCCGCTTGCGTCTCCAACGCAAGCCGAGTTTGGAAAAGTTCAATGCATTCAGCATGGGGCGTGACGCCAGGGATTCTCATGCTTTCTTGGCCGCCTCCTTCTCAGCCTGGGTCAGCAGGCGGCCCTTCAAGGCGACCTCCTTCCGCTCGGAGAAGCGACTGTTCAAAAAGTCTGCGTGTTCCTTGGAGGCACGCGTGGGAGAACCCACGGGACCTGGAAGGAGACATGAATAGGATGCGAAATTCTACGCAAAAAGAAAGGGAACCATTGTGAGTGAGCTTTGTTGGCATGAGGGTGCAGTGCTGGTCTTTCTCATAAGCCTGTGATCTTGGAAGCACGCTCCTCTCTTCCGCGATTTCATGGGATTTCCACCACAAAAGGCTGAACAATGCCCAGGCGTCACGCATGATGAGGGTGAATTTGAAGTACTCCTCCATGACGTCCACGACGCGATCTCGGAAATCGGACTCCTGCGGCGTTCCGTGATTTCACATCCGTCACATCCGTTTTAAAAAGCAACACTCCCAAACACTCCCAGACATGACATAATAGGTATATATGACTGCATGGCTGATTCTCAACCAAACGAAGACAAGAGCTCCCGGTGGCGGTGTTGCTCTTGCTTCAGTGGTCAGAGATGAAGGGAGCAATTCAATTGACAGCAGCCCCCCTACAAAAATAATAAACTACAGAGCAATTCAATGCAATCCGGCCTTCATCCTTCCCTCCTCATCAAACTCCTGCCAGGCCTTTGGTACTGAGGACTGGTTGGTGCAGCAAGGCATGCGCATCCAGCGCGCCAAGCGCCGCAACTCATTAACCACATTGAAACTTTGACTGCCTCCGTTCACTTGAAGCACTACACAGGTGCGACCCTGGGTAGGCCTGACCGAGCCAGTGTTCAAGGGAAGCCAATCAATCTGGTTCTTGAAGGCTGCGGTCACACAGCCATGCATCTCTGGGCTGACCCACACATGGCCTTCCGACCACATGGACAAGGCTCGAAGCTCCTGGACCTTGGGATGCTCTTCCAACGCAGGATCACGTACCGGAAGTCCATGGGGCGAAAAGGTTCGCACATCGGCGCCCAAGACTTCCAGCAAGCGAGCACATTCATAGGCCAACTTGCGGGAAAAGCTGCTTGGCCTCAAGGAGCCGTAGAGAACCAAAATGCGTGGAGGATGTTTCATCTGAGCACTTGGAGCTTCGAAGTTGGCAGCCTCCTGCAAGTTGGTGCCATGCTTGTCCTCGGCATCTGCGAAAACCTCCGAGACCCAGTCATGCCCAGGTCCGCTTCCTGGTAGCTCCTTTTGACCTCGATGAGCAAGCCACCCGCCGGTGCCATTTTCCAGTGGCTGCACATCATAGCCGGCTCCATCATGAGGAAGGCCGGACATGAGCCTAAGGGACAGCAAGAGAACAGTGTGAAGTTTGAGCCCAAAGGACTGCATATTGCATGAATGACCAGAGTCTCAAAGCTAAACAACATCACCAGCTTCGATTGTATGCATCTGTTGCATCCGTACTGGAAACAGCTTGTTGTTTTGCCTTTGATGTTTTTTTGGCATAACCTGGCTCAGGACTGGGGGGGTGCGGGATCTTGCAGCTCTCCTGGACACAATGCATCTCTGGTTGGTGTTCTCAACCCACTTGAAAAATATTAGTCAGAGGGTCCAATCATCCCCAAGCAAGGGTTGAAAATAACAATATCCGAAACCATCACCTAGATCTGTTCCAAAGCATGTCCCAGCATCAATGCACGCAGGGGCAGCTGAAACATATGTTTTGGGGGGCCAACCCTTCCTCAAACATACTGATCATGTCATCTCAAACCCAGCTCGCGCGAGGTTCGCGCGAGCGGGTGCCGCGAAGCAATTGCCCACGGCCGGTGGTCGACGTCACGTCACATCGTTCGCAGTGCCTCGTCCACCGCACTCGTGACGCCAAGGCGTGCTCGGTCACCTCACAGCCTTTGGATCTGCGCCTGGACCTGAAAGCGTCATGTGCCGGCCCCGGGACCTTCCGAAAATGGCGACGGGTTCGCCACGAACACGGACCGGGAAGGGGTTGAAAAGGTCAATGGCTGTCCAAACCAAAGCGGATGCCACGGCGCCAAAGACTCCCACTAAGACCACACACCAGCGAGTGCGCTGGTTTCCTCTGCATGGAAAAGCCGTTAAGACCTCTATGTACATCTATGTGCTATGTGTTAAGGTCTCCTGAAAGCAAACATTGGTTTCCTGATGTTCGCTGATCCGAGAAGCGTCCAAACTATTTCAAATAGGAAACAGCCAACAAAGTACACCTTTTTCTTGAGCCAAACATAACGCGTACAGTAGACATGACTATGTACAAGCAGTGAAAAATACCCCCCGCGGCGCCGCCAGGTCACTGGCAGCACCGAAGAGGCAGAAGTGCAGCCATCATAGACCTTAGGACAGGCTGCAATGCTATGTACAATATGCATGACCTACGAATGCGTTGTTGTAATGGAGAAAGTTGCAGGTGAGGTTCGGCTCCTTTTGCGCTCGTAGCGGGATGCTGCAAAACAAAATACACGGCTTAGGTTTCCACCTAGCATCACGGGAGCAATACCACTCCAATCAAGATGCCATAGGTGACTTGCACCGTGAATTACTATAGACAAGATGAATGCACTAGGCATGCCAGCCAAAATGGACACGGCAAACCTTCCGGTTCGCAACGCTGTTGAAACAGTCAGCCCAAAAGATGAAAGACGGCTAACGTTCCCGTTAGCGTAGCGAACTTGAAACTCCAATACTTCACATGCCAACATGAGAAAGAAAGCGTTCCGGCTAACGTTCCCGCTAGCATGGAAGATACACACTCCAATGGCCGAAAAGGATCTATGGATCCCACTCCCAGTACCATCCCCGGGAGGCTGTCCACTTCCACGAAAAGCTCCAAGATCCGGACCACTCTCGGTCGCCGTAGTAAACCCGCTCCTGGGCAGGCTTACCCTTACCCTTCTCCTTGCCCTTCTCTTTGCCCTGCCCCTTGTATGGCTCGGACTTATACTGCCCTTTCTGCGGCTCATATTTGCCCTTGCCCTTCGGCTGAATATCGCTCTTGCCCTTGCCTTTGGCCTTGGCTGCGCCCTTCATTGCAATGTCCTGGGCAATGGTGCGCTCGGGCGGCCCGACCACGGCATCAGAAGAGCTTCCGGCTGCACCCTTTCCCTCCGAGGGCTTCGGCACCATTCGCCACTGATGTGCGGCTGGCGCCCATGGGCGCGGGCGATCAGACTTGCCCTTGCCCTTCCCCTTGCGGAATTGGGTCCGCTGCTGGAGGCGTTGCTCGTGATAGGTAGGGCAGTCGATCTTGTAGTGCGGCCCCCCGCACACGAAGCAACCGGAGGCTGGAGCTTTTCCTTTGCCTTTGCCCTTCTTGGCTTTATGCTCGGCCTGGTCAACGGGAAAGAATCCAGATCGTAGATTCTGGTTCGCCGTCGACTTGCGAGACACCGCACTGACCTTCTTGTGCGTCCCCTCGATCACCTTCAAGCTGTGCCCAAATTCATTTGCAGCATCGGGCCAGTTCAATCGGGCGAAGGACACAAGATCTTTGAGGATGTTCTCGGCCGAGCCTTCCGGCTGGCATTGCTTATCGTTCCAGCCGATGATCACGGGCGGAGGCTGATTCTTCTGCAAGATTGCAAAGTCGACTTACGTGGCAAACTGCGCCAAGGTCAAGAACCGGCATTTGTGTGCCACGAACGCCTCATCAGCCAAATCGACAGG